CTTAGCCAAAAGGCCGAGAAAGGTATGCTCTTCCTATTGTTCTGGTTTGCCTTTTGTAATCACGAGCAATCGTCGTTATGTTCTCTGTATTCATTGTGGGACTAAACCTGGTATTTACATCTTTACGGCACGGCATGTTAACATACTTAGTTGGGAGTAATTAGCCAACCATGTTAATCATTTTTCAGCTAAATATACATTCTTCTGTTCGCCAAGCAGGTAAACCAATCAAAATCTTGATATACATCTGCCCATCAAACCTTCATTGTGCATGGTATGTATGAAGAAGACTATTATCATCCCCAGAAGGTTCCTATGTGATGTCCTGCTGCAGTAAGAACTTCTCCAATTGTATGCTTAATCTCAAAATACACTTTGAGTCAGAAGAAACCAACCCCAGTGGTACCTTTCAAGTTTCAAGTAGTGTTAATTGAACGGAGCAGCTCGGGCTTGGCACGGGATCGCTCGGTTAAAGTTCAACTTCGGATCGTCCGTTTGGCAAAATGAGCCAAGCTTGAACACAAAAGAAAGCTCGTATGAAATTTGGGCTCAGCTCAAGTTGGAGTTTGCCTTGCACTGCTGCAAGGGCCTGACGCACCCCTAACAAAACAAATTTAAAGTTTATTGGATTACAAAGTCTACCTATGTTCATATCCCAATCTCTAGATATGCCATTAGATGGCGAAAGGTTGACGAAATGCTAAAACCTCACCCAAAATTTAAATATGCTCGAAAGGACCAAATGTTCATATCTCAATCTCTAGATATGCCATTAGTATCTGTTCTTATCAGTTTTCAACCAGCATTTGACATGCCTCGGTATAACCTTACTAGCTGTGTCATTGCACCAAGCGCAAAGATGCTATAGGATTATCTTCGCACAACACCTTTTATTATCATTTTTAATGTGTTAGTTGATGTGGTCGTTGCATTTGGAGTTTCAGAGTTACAAGGCAAAAACCCTTGGCTGTGTTTCGCATTGTAAGGGAACCTAGTCGCATGCAGTTTTAACCTTACCAAAAGAAGTGTCTGGTTTGCACTTTGCACGAGTAACTTGTCTTCATCATGAATTCGGTATTGCATGTCTGCTCTCTTATGTGAACCACATGCTTACACATACACATAGAGAGGCAAAAAGATAGATCTGGTTTTGTTTCTCAAGTATATCTAAACAACCACTCAGCTGAAAACCCTCTGTAAAACCATCCTGACGCCATGCTCTTATTGGTAGTTGGGGGCCTTGTGGGTGGGCAATGTGATAAAACTTTCAAATCAAAATTCTTGTTACATGTATACATCTGCAGTCACCAGGCAAAACCTCTATGAAACAATTAGCTCCTGATATGTTTCAAACTCACAACCTCTCCACTTTGAAAGAGGGGTGTTACCATTGAGCCACATGCTCATTTGCAACTAATCTATCAAATGCATAGATACTATGATATAACTCAAGCGCATGAATGAGCGCAGATAGTGTGGTGTATTGTCTTCGTGACCATTTCAATCAATAAATTTTATTTATCAAAAAAAAA